AGTAAAAAAAGTACCAAATTTTGAGACTAAATATCTCGCTTCGTGGACGTTTGGGCAACTTTTGGCAACACTATCGCATTCAGCTCCCGATTTCCTTTCAAACGGAGTTAGTCTCGTTCAAAAAGATCTTGATGACCTATCATAGCTTCTTGGTTAAAGCTTTAATCTGGTTGAATTGGGATCCAGAGAGAACTATGAGATTCGGAGAGTAAATTTCAATTAATTCCAAGATACGTCTCATATTTTAGACACCATCAAACTTGAGAAATTTTCAAGTTTTTTGTAGGAGTGGAATATTTTGCGTTAAATGGCGCTGATCAAGCGCTATTCTTCGAGGCGCTTTGGTTGAGTGGTCAATTTGAGCGTGCTATTGATGCACTGTATAGGTGAGTGCGTACATGATTTCATTGTTAATTCCATCGGCTTGGAGGCAGATATAGCATTAACCTTTTCAATAGTTTAAACTCTATTAGAAATTCTTAACAACTTCTGAGGTTTCAGCAAACTAGAAATATTTTGTTGGTTTCGATCAGTGTGAGTAGCTTCAGATAATGAACATAAAATGTTTGTGAATAAATGCTATTGTTGTTTGCAGGTCTGGTAGATTAGTGCATGCGGTACATTTGGGGATATTAGCATATGTGAACAATCTTTTGGTAACGTCAGCTAGTGAGGCTGGAAAATTGCGTAACTTTTTATTCATATTTGTTGTTATTATTATCTATATTGTTGGTGTTTTGAATGCTTTTAAAATCGTAATGAAAGTTGTTTTTAATATATTTTCAATTTCCTTCANGTTCGTTAAACCTTGCACGGATTGTGCTGATGTATGTCAAGTCGTTTGAGTGTACCAACGCGGAACGTGCACTCGATTATTATTTCATGTTACGACGTTTCGAAACGCCGACAGGTATTATCTTCTTATGTGACGTGACCTCTTTTCCATCTTAAAACCATAAACTAGGAAAACCATAAAAGACAACAACAACATATGCATTCAGTTATTATATCAGTTATAGACTAACAGCAAAAGCTTTCGCAGACATATTAAAATCAGTGGTTTTGCTTCGATTCGTACATATAAATAAGATAAAGGAAACGAGAGCAGATATATGGTGAAGTTTGATTAAAGATGTGCACTCAAAGCTTTTATTATTCCAAAATGTATATGATTTTCAGGCAGTAATATGTTTAGTGCATGTGTGTCACGAGCCGTCTTTCTGAGCGGTGAGAGTGAGGAAATTTTGGGGAAGATTGATACTAGAAATGCTGTAAGAGGGCAAGGCTTCATCGACAAATATTCAAACGAAATTAATATTAATGATATCATCAAGAAAGTAGCCAGTGATTCAGAATTGTCGAATGAGAGCGAAAGAGCCGTACAGCTGTATTCTGTCGTTGAGGTTATTTGAACGAAGTGTTTTTATTTTTATGGTATTATCGTCTCTCTTGTCATTATTCTTACTTTCTTCGAATCATGTATAAGGACTCAAAAGTGAGATGTTTTGTAGGCAAGTTCAGTATAAGAATGGAAATGAGTTAGATGAGCAACGAAGATGAGTTCAGCCATATGATTTCATTACGGCAAAAGGAGTAGTTCTGTGAGTTGGAATGGAAATTTGGGAAGTTGAGCGCTGCGAAGCCGTAGAAAGCACCGTGTGAAACAGAAATGGACTTTAAAAAGGGAGAAAATAGTTTGAATGAATAGTAATGGTTTCGGCAAGTAATAATGAAAACTTTCAGTGCTATGATGATGCAGTACGTGCAATGTGCAGCTTTGTGATCACAACGCCTTTCGACGAATACATCAATACAAATCAAAAGTCACGTCAACTAGCCATATGGCTAATTGATTTGTGTAAGCGCAGAATCAGCGAAAACGTATCTTTCCCAAACTCATTCTCAATACTTTGCTTACTCGTTGATCTATCTGCATTCTTCATGTGTTTCCATCAGAAAAGGTAAATGTTTAGTGTTATTTTTTTGGTTAATGAACCGTTTTTCCGATTTTTTAATCAATTGGGGATTTCTTCGTTCAGAGGTTTTTGTTTTCTATAAGTTCACATGACTATAACTAAATATTCCACTGGTATTTTTGTGTGAAAATACAGTCTTTGCCTCAAGATTCATGTCCGAATTTTCATCCCTCCGTGTTATCGCTATTTATTCCCAGTGAACATCAAAATCGATAACGACTTCTAAGGTAATAATTTTAATGATGACTGCGACTATAAGATCAGTTTCTCATTTAAGGTACTCACTTTGTATGGAAATAATCAAGAAACTGAAATGTATACCGTTGAAATCGGCAGAGGTGAATGGATTTGTATCTATGTTCCATGTGATTCCAGTTCAGGTATTACCATGATGAATGTATTGAAGATATAAAATTTCTTAATTGTAAAAATAACCAGTGATGCGCTATCCACTACTAACGGAGTCAATTTTTTTTCGGTAGTGCGAAAGCTCGCTACTTTTTTACAAAGACGAAATTTGTAGCGATAACTTCCGTTGCAATGGTTTTTTAGTGGCATAGAGTGGCGGCAACTTGCGCTATTTTCTTTAATGAGCGTTTTAGCGAACTACTTATTTGAGACTGCCGCTAACTCGCTAGTTGTCGTCAGCAGGAAATGCTTATTTTTCCTTTATCAGAATATTCAATCTTTGTGCGACGTTCATATTGCTGCGAATCAATTGATTTCATGGCTCAGATTGACCTGTGCGTTACCACTTACATTTGTTAGTTGGCCAAATCTCTACTTTGTAAGCCACAGAGAAATAGTTTCAAGCCACTGAACTGAAAAGCCGATTCGATTTACCAAAATATGGCTCAAGCATTTGTCAGTGTTTCGAGACAACGTGTTTATACCATCAAGGCCAACTAATTTCGTTTCCCTTCTTTGGTCCTGCAAAACCACTATTGATCCTGAGTTCTGGTGGGGGCAAGGAAATCAAATAGTGAGTGAAAATATTCCTGCATATCCCCGTTCCTTCCACAATCTTGGTATACATCTTGTTTTGGGTAAGATGAGACTCGGTATAAATACAGCAACCTTGGAACATAATCATAAATGTGTAATACGTTCATAATTCCAATCTCGCAAAACTTCAGTACAGTATTACGGAGATATTACTTTTACAACTCCGGAATCCGTTCAGCCAGCACTGAATCACACAGAATGTCCAGACATACTACGTATAGGTATAACATAGCTTCCTCCCATCTCATTATTAACTCTTAACAATTTTGTCTGTTGGCTACGGCAGTCATTCTGATTGCGGTAGTTTACTGTTAACATCACCTTCCTGCCCATAATTGCTTTCGCAAAAAACGCGCATAAAATGACACATAATTCTCAATTTCCTAACTGCTAGTCTTATCGGGAACGGTTTCATCTTTATCATCTTGGGGGTCGACGAGGTGATTCTTCACTTGGATATCATTTGGTCATTATTATTATTGTAACTTTTTGATAAGCAGATTCCATTTGAATAAAATTTGATATTTCCAATGAGCTCCGAAAAGATTCTGCCAAATTTTGAAGGTTGTTTCCTAAACAAATCAGCAACATGATTGAAAATTTTTTCTATTTTCGAAAGTAGCGATTAGCGGACCAGTTTTGCTGAGTATTGTTTCAGCGAGAACTAGTGATGATAATAATAATGCTAATTATATAACAAGAAAAACCGTAATAATAGTAAAATGACGGTAATAAAGTTATTTAATGCACTTTTGTTGCTCTTATATCAAGGGGTGTGAACTTTAAATTTTCAAAAATGTGTTTTCAGATACGTTCGTTATTAGGAGAGTTGTGCGTGAAAGTAATGTATGTTGTTGTTAACGGTTCAGCGAGCAAAGAGGAGATGCGATCAACAGCCAATGCTATTATTGAATATACAGCTCGAATACCACTGGAATTGTCGACTGAAGTAAATGCGAGAATACTGGAATTGAACTCGATGATACAATGAATTTGTTGATTTATTATCGTTCTTATTGTCACTCTTCTGTTGTGTTGTCATTGTCATCGATACTCATGTCGTTATTATTAAACTTATCATCATTGCAATGCTTAAGTAATTATTAGTTTCCTGACTCAATTTGGCCCGAATTTTAGCACACGTTGGCGGTCCAAATTATACGTTGTGCATATATAATACTTTTGTCACTAAGTGGCATATCGAATAACACGGAATGCTCGAAAAAGCGACGTTCTGAAATCGCGTTCATTCAAGTGCGGATTGATTGTTCCCGCTGCGAGTTTCGTAATGAGAGGTCTCCCTTGAATAACTTCAAAGAAAATGATGATTGTCAGATCGAAATATGGTGATGGGTTATATTGAACAAAATGATGGTACTATCGTACAACAGTGAAGTTCCTATTAAACAATTAGTAGTGATGGCATCCGAACGACGGTCGGTTGGAAATATCTGGCAATTTCTGTCGGAATTCCGAATGCTGAATTGTGAATTTGGTTGGATTCCTACATAAAAATCTCGACAGTCAGTTGGAAACCTGAATATCGGAATGATGAAAAGCCGTTCGGTCGAATTCCGACCGACATAAAATTTCGCCCGGATGCCATCACTAATAATTAGATGGTTTGCCGATATGACCAGCGTGAGAACAAATGTAATACACATCGTAGTTTTTCATTTTAACTATGGTAATCTGTAATTTATTCTTGGTTTGCATGAGTGAATTCATCGATTCTGTCATGCAACATCCCCGAGTAATGCATATCCCAATAAACTGCAGCTTCGGCGTAAGTTAACATAGGCGTAGACTTGGGTTAGGCTTGCCACTTAAACTTAGATTTAGGCTCAGGGTTGAGCTTAGATTTCGGTTTGGTCCTAAAATTATACCCAGGTTCAAGCTAAAATTTAAGTTTTGATTTAGGCTTAACCTTATGCTACTTGCGCATACCAAGTGGCATTCGATCGCCGTGTGTGAGGGCTAACCAATGCGAGTGTACGGTAATGCGATCGTACACAGTGAAGACGCTATCACGTTGCGCACCTGAACGAACAAGTCTCTAAGATTATCGATTTTCGAAGAATGCTATCGCACCGAAACCATTTGTGTAGATGTCGCGATGGACGTGATGGATTCATGATCACATTTAGATGATGTCGATGAGTGGCTACGGCTCTGTTGTGTTGGGTTTTCTTTTCATAATTATTCGTTTGTTGCTGCATCAAAGGAAAACTAAATCGAATTAGTTGCAACGATTGATAGATTGATCGTGAATCATGTGATGCACCGAATCCACAACGATTCTCTTGATGTCAATGTTAAAAATTTGGTACTTTTGCTGATAAGGGGCGCCACTGCGCGCACGTGCTTAAATTACCACTTTGCCCCATGTGTATCAATGCAATTCGAATACAAATCAGGAGTATTCTTAAGCTCAGATTTACGCTTAGCCCAGTGGTGAAGCTAACGCATAGGCTTCCACTTATGTATTAAGCTTCTGAGCACAAGAGCATCTGATGGCGCGGTGGCGCCCGTTATCAGCAAAAGTACCAAAAATTCAATGCAAAGACGATTGGAACGATCAGGCGCAAAATTGGATGCTTTGAATTTGTTATTGACGAATGTTACTGTTGGGTTCAGGCTATAAGTGATGGCGAGTGGACAGAAGATCGCATCAACAGCCGTTAAAAACCGTTCTCAAGCACCTTTCTGGGTCTGGCTACGCAATAAGCTGCTCGCCGTTGATCGTCAAAAAATAACACCACCGCCAGGCTTAGAAAGATCCGATGGCAAAGTGTGTTTGATTTTCTACGTTGCTTTCCAGTTTTTCTTCACATCGTAATACATCCCGCAAATTTCCCATTTTCTGCGAGATGATCGTGCACTGTGAAAATTTCAAAACGTGGGGATTAAATTGCTTGGTATTTATGTAGTTTGGGTTAATAAAATCAAAACCACATTTCGTTTGTAGCCATTCGCACTTTGATAACACCGATCAACAGATTTTGTTAAATCGTGAGCTTCTCAAATGAGATATGTTAATTCTCATACACTTTCATGTCCTGAATCTAAATATCGCCTTTAAAACGGCTTATTGACTATCGTTGTCAAGATACATAAAATACAATATTTGGATTTTTATTGTGATGTACAGTATGTCTTGTTTCATGCGTTACCTATCCTCCTTTTTGTTTGGCGCTTATATTCGGCCGAAGAAACATCTCTTGCCAACGGCCAACAATAGTATGCATGCACGATTGTGCTCCATTTATCCGATATCATTTTTCCTTAGCCGAAATATTTCGATGAAACCTGTCACCTTGTTTATCACTCAACGATTGATAGATTAAATGCAACATTTTTTTGAAATAAGACAATATGAGTACAAAAAATGGATTTTAAGTGGCATGTTACATCCCATGATCATCTTGTTAACCTTGATGGGATTTTCATCAATTTTTTGTAGATTTCTTCACTTCGGTCTCCCAGAAATCATTTGCCACTGGTTTGAATGCTTCTCAAGCATCTTCCACCTTCACATGAAGAGCTGATTCAAAGTGGCCATCTTTAAGAAGCTCACGAATTTGAGGATCCTAGTTCAACCTCACTTAGCTCTTAATTATTTGAATCCTTGACGGGAATTGTCCATAGCTCTCACAAAGCTCTTTATGAGTGGCAGTTATATATGCAGCGATGGTAGCAAAATGTGTTTAGTTCAGCGATGGGTGGATGTTCAACATTCCTATTCCAATGATTAACAGCAACAATTGACGATCAGTTACTGTCAGTTTGATATTCCATTGAGTGGTTCTTGTTCTGATGAAGTTGTTGAAGTAATTAAATGGGATTAATTTAGTAATGCGTTTATGTCAAGGTCTTTCAATGAATTGTGAATGTGTTGTACAAAAAAATAATGTTATGCTTTCGTTAACTTGAAATATACAATTATGAACTGTAATTTGAAGGCAGTATATCACAACAATTTACGATTTCCAAATACACAGTCGGCACGTACTCAACCGTCTCCAACTCTACCGGGTGGTATTCATCATCGAATTTATGATGTCTACTATTTGGAACGCGATGGTCGTCGTACAGTCTCACCACCAAATCCACTCTATTTATCCGATGAGCACGGTGCCAAGTTTGGAACCGCTACTGGCGAAGAGATTACGTTGGTTCTTACTCAGTGATATGCTTATATTTTTCTGCAGTGAAAATTTCACCTTTAGTGTATACAAAATTGTTTGCTAAGATTTGCGAAGCTCAAATTCTGACAACAATAATCGACGCGTACGTTTCTTATTTTTAAAGCACGTGAGCGTCAAGAATGGAAATAAATGAGCATTTTGTTTGCAGATGTGAAAAGGCGGTTCAAGTGAACAAAGGACCTGGTGAGAACTTTGGACTGGAAGCACCGACACCAGGATTTGGTTGTGAGTGGAAGCGTGATCGTTCGTGTGAATTAGCCACACAAAAGTTCTCGAAAGACCTGGGTTATTTGGAGAAGTATGACAGATTCACACGAAGCAAATGAAACGAACGTTTCTTGTATAGATTTTGAAGAGTTTTCCTTGATGTGTAAACTTTTGTTCCAGTGATTGAAACATCAGCCTTCTATTACCGGTACGCCAAAAATGATCGGAGCAGTTTTCTGGTTTGTTCTTCAAAAAACGCTCGCTTTAAAGTTGTATTTCTAGCGAATAAATTTCGTTTGATTGAATGGAAGCGTTATTGGAGCGTTTTCTAAAGACGAATATATTATTATTGTGTATGCATTGTAGAAACGAATTTTTTTCTTTTAGATGATCGTTTGCAGACAATAAATGTTTATTCATTAAATGTTCTCGAATTTGTTGTTCTTGTTCAAAATGATGGTCATGATCCAAGTTTGCCGTACATTCGTTATTTCCTTTATCATCCGTTTTTTCTCGGTGTTTGTACTGAACACGAATCGGTGTTGACTTCGTTTGCTGATTCCTTCCGTGTCGTTCAGAAGTTGGCAACAAATCAACTACAGTCATTTCGTTTTTGCTTCGATTAATATTGCATTGTGGCGATATTCTCTTTGCGGTTGCCTTTAATTTGTTTATCTCTAGAGCCAGCCAACACAATGCGCATTTCACCAGTCGCTTTGGGGAAACATTTCGGTAATTTAGGCAAGGTTTGTCCTTAATTCTGTTTGTTTCTTGGAACGTTTACCGATCAAGTAACAACTGAAGTGCAGTCGGAATGAATAGCTTAGTTATAAACATTTTCGTGCAACACGATTCAATAATGAAGCAAACAATCTTTGATGCACTTCCTCTTAATTAATTTAGTCGTACCGTTTCACGCCCTAGATGTGGTAATTAGTTTCTTCTTTCTCTATTTCTGTTTGAATTTTTAATTTTTATCGAGAACTAGATTGCTATCTTCTGACAACAAACAAAATTGTTTTTACAGATGTATGGCGAATATCGATTCGCGTTGGCACCTAATGAACAAAAAGTCTTCAAGAATTTCTTCAACTTGGCGTTCGTAAAGGTTCGTTGCGTGTGTTGCTAATGGGGAAATTTGATTGCATTGATTCGTTACAGGTATTTCGAAGCTACGTCTGGGAAGACTGGTTCTTCTATATGCCTCCAGCGATCGGTTGCTATCTCGTTTACGATTGGGCAAAGAAGAAGAATACCGAATTGAACAAGAAGAATCCGGCTGACTTCGTCAATGATGTGTAAATACTGAAATGAACTGTTGACCTCGTTTCTAGTTCTCACGTTCGAAGGTTTCAACTTTTAAGAGAATTAATACGGTATGCATACTGAAATTTCTAGAAGATTTCGGATGCATAGGTAGATGTGTGTATTACTGACGAACTTATCAAACCTGTGAGGTGTTTGTCCTTTTTTCATCATATTCTCATGTCATATATACAAAAACAGTTGTAGTTGTTCGCATTATTTTCTGTAATTCTATTTTGATAAACTGAATTAATTGAATTTCATGTTTTATTCTTTTGGTATCATGACAGTGTGACAAAAAAATTTGATCGAAATTTACTTCAATAGGAAGAAGGTAATTTAAGATTGCATTCACAATCGAAATGTGAAGCCTTTTGAGTTAGCGTTTCTGTCGGTAAAGTAGTTTTACTGTATTCTCACTGTTTATTGAGATTTTCGCTTACGTCATATTCAAATTTTATCCAGATTGATCGGCTATAAATAAATGTATGCATTAATGGTTTAAAAGCATGCAGTGCAGACATCTTTAACGATCTCCTGAAATCTGATGTTAACACGATAAAAGGAAGCAGTCGTATAACCAAGATTTTTTGAGATATTACCAAATTCTGAAGACGACAGATTCTTGCTTAAACTTTACGGCGTACTGTTGAGTTCTACGTAATTGTTCAACTGACTAATCGCTGATTAAAATTATTACCTAAATTCCCTGAGTTTTAGCGTTGTGCAAGTTGTTTTTCAAATTTCATCAGTTACCATATTTTTGCCCATATTAATCCTAGCATGACGAATGGGCATGAGAGGTCCAACGCAAACTTTCAGTCTTTCATAATTTTATGAATGTCGGAGATGGCCCTTATGCTAGCCACAGACCTGACAATTTATGATTCCATTCATTTGCTTGACATCAGGCAGGGAACAGAAAAAACTTTTTCTTTTTGAATCGTGCGCGCCACTCGGAATATTTCATAGAATCGGAGACAGCGCTTAAATAGACACATTTGTAACCGCATCTCTCAGGCCCTGCTATGAATGTGTTGTTATTAAGGCGTTTTTAAGCCTACAAAACGGTGGTAATTGTTATCCTTAGAAATTCTGATCTGTTTTACTTTTTTAATAATACGTCAGGACAGTATCGGAATGAGCAGATCAGGTAACTATTGTCGTGTGAATAATGAAACATAATTGCATTGTTGTCATTCACATGAAACTGTAAAGTGAGTTCCAGGCCAGTGAATGGCAACGAAAATCAACAAGAAAAATTGTAAGCATGATAAAATAGTAAAGAGCACAATGCATGATAAAAATTTCGCTCAAGTTACTACTTTTCGTTATGAAAATTTTCGTTGTGATGGCTGTGAAAAGTGATTTTGGTTTTTCAACTCATTCATGACTGCACGATGAAAATGAAAGCGAAAGACAGAAATACAAAATACAGTGAAAATAGCACCCCAGATATAATCAGAAAATCTACACAGTTTCATTAGTGAAGCTTTTAAACAACACATCGTTTGGATATTCAGTACGAGCTATGAGAATTGTGGTGTGTATTTTTGACGTACCATGATGCTGTGCTCTTCTACCACTACCTGACGGACATATGGAACATCTTTTCCGTTTTCTATCAGCACATGAAGTCACTAATCGTGAGATGGCTTTAATCGGTTAATTATTTCTGTATTCAATTTACATCAAACTGGTAAAGTCGTGAATGCATTTTTTGAGGAAACGAATTAATATATGAAATTATTATAATAATTTGAAAGCGATATCTGGAAAATAATTTATTGAAAATGAGTTGACCGTCGCTTGCACTGCACATTTGTAGGACAAATCTCCGTTCGACTTGTAATCACCTATGAGAATGTGAATTCCAGTAAACTTGTTGATTTGATCAGCATCCTTCTTTCTACTCAGCTAACGATAATAGTACTGGGAATCGTCTGTCTTCATGAAATTCTAATTTCGATAATTGATTTGGTGAACATAGGAACGTAGGGCTACTCTCTTGTATTGCCTAATTATTTCTAAGGAGACGGATTCAGGATACGCCCGAAAATATCCTCCGCTTGATCGAATGAACATGCGTCCAATGATCGCTCGGAGTAGCGATTTGAAAAAATCGACAGTTATAAACTAGTAATCATTCGTAAACAACAGTTTTGATGAATTTGGTCCATAACAATCAGTTTATTAGGCATAATTGTTTGATCAAGTATCCTCATTAGCATCACCTTCATCTTTGTCTTCGAATAAGCATTCAATAATTTCATCACCCAAGGACACTTAAGCATATATAACTGCATAATGAACACAAAGCAAAAATCACAAATCAAGAACCAAAGTGCAGAACTTATCTAGCTGGTCCATCGTGTTGCTGCCGCTTTGCGGTACATTACTACCCAGAAGCTTGATGACGGAATAATATTTTCGTTTATCTTCATAGACAAACGCATAGAGTTGAGTCTCAGTTTATTTAATGCATAGGGCTGCACTTAATTATGCAAAGTATTTATTTATGTCGTATTTAGCTGTGGAATGTTTAATATGCCCATCCCTGACTAATCCGAATCTCCCAGCAACTACGAAGTTGTTTTTTCATCGCCAGTCAGACTGTACTGTGATCACATCTCGTCGTATCTCCATTTTTACTCTTATAACCTTTCACATCGATCTTTCTATGGCTCTTTGTGTTACAAGCAATCTGTTTTCGTTGGATTTGTTAGAGATCATGTTTCACAACCGTTGTTTGCATGAATTCCCTCCTTTTCCTGCTCATTTTGAGGCCAATTATAGCGTCCACTTTCTCAATTCTCAGTAGTGGTAGAGGCTAAAAGAACGATATCGTACGCAATTCTTAGATGATTTAATATTTCTCTGTTGATTTGAATGCCTTCTGCTCAATCCAGTTATTATATCACCTGTCCGAAATAAGATGAAAACAATATTGGACGGGTAGTATCGTCTTAACGTATGCCCTTCTGTACTGGAATTGTTATTGGGTCATCTGGTGATATCCGTCTCAAATTTGTTGCCAAAATTATGCCTGATTCAAATGTTAGACATTCATCAAAGATTTCTCTTGAATAAATTGTGCGCATCTTAGATAAATAATCGGCAACTTCATGAGCAATTATTTGACTCCTTGTTTAGTTGTAGCAATTCTCTAGACCAACTTGAGGTTCATGTGGATTCCCAGTGAAGCCCTCCAGCTAATATATTAGGTGTTGTTTGGGAATCAGTCATTTAATTGCAAGTATGTTTCGGTCTGGATCGAAGCCCCTTCTCCTTAAGCTTGCAAATGGTGCAGAATATCGCGGCGATGCAAAGTGCACCTATCAATCGCTAACTCTAAGATTGAAGACTCATCAGGTGATGCAGCAGTCCTGTTTATAATTGTCTTTCTTCAGCAACACCACTAAACTAGGCAACAGACATATGAGTTGCGCATGTACGACTTCAGTTTCACAAGCAAATAAATACTCCAAAGACTAAATATAAAGTGGACCTTCCACAGTGCGGTCTAAATCATATCGAGGAGAGTTGTCATTAAGCTGAATCACTGTATGAGGATGTCTTTGTCCTGATTTAGGTATTTATTTGGTAGAAGATGTTCGCACACTTATCTCTTCAAAGTTCAAATCATACACAATACTGCTCCAATTGTAAAAAAAAACTGCAATTGTTGCAGGTAGATGTTAGTAAGAAAGCACTATTCCTTGAAAAAAATCAAGCCAGCCGTTCATAATGTTTACTGATGCATCGCTTAGATTATGGTACAAGAAGCGAGTTAGGTAATCAGAATTTTCAGGCCGTTTCATTCTACAGTTTGCCCTTTCTGATTCCGGAACAGAATGGCATGCAATCCATGTGAAAATAAGGACAGTTACGTTTACAATACGCAAAATATTCATGTTCAGTGAAGAGATTCATCTTTATTGCCACGTAGACCAAAACATTATCATGACAATCATAAAGATTGAAAATTGAATCTGATCTACTCCGTTGTACTGCTGCTGAGTCACAAGATATTGAAGATGAAACATTTTGCAGACATAAACGCTGTGCGCGATTATTCTTATCTCTCGGAGGTTATTTATTTCATCTCCCTCTACACCACCTCTCAGAGGATAAATCAGTACAGAAAATTCGAAACGAATGCTTTTACTTCTTACACGTAGACCATCCGAACCAAGTGATTTCAAGTACAAACTGGTTACTTGAGAATTATTAGGAGATCTTACATTTAGAATTTAACTGCCTACTTTCGCAAAATATTTGCGACAAGTTCTTGTGTCAAATGCGATCTCAATATGTTTTCAGCCTTTTCAGCTGAGCAATCTGGGAACAATCGGATGGCAAAGACCACGTTTTTTTGTGACATCACGCCCAATTCACAAATACTTGAGTAAATTGTTTGTTTTTGAATTTGCATTGATCATTCAAATCAATGTTCATCTGTAAGAATGAGAATTGAATAATGTTTCAGTTGCATCGTGTTATACATGAAAATTCTCTTAAACAAAGAAACACCAAAATAAACTATCATACAATAGGCATTGGTCTTATCATCCTCACTCGGGACTTTGACCATCATATGGGGATTTGCACGTATTGGCGTTCAATACGAGTCCCCGACGACGTTGGAATGCCATCACATTTTGATGTGCCCACGTGTATGCGGCTCACATGTATGTTCAGTTCAGTCGGGTTGGTTAATGATGAGTTTTGATTGATGATAGAATGCGCACGGTACGGATCTGTGTGACCTGCAAAAGGACTGACTGACTGCTCCGACCACCACCATTCTCTTAACATCTTTCACTGACCCATATTGCTCCATCCAATTGGCTTCTTTTCTATTCACCTTTCTTCTATACTTGAAAATAAATCGCTTCTACCTTTATAGATTCATTCCATCATCACATTTGTATGTTTCATTATTTCATATTCCACTTACATATCTGGATTCGCGTTAATATTTATGAACAATAAATGTATGAATGTGTTTGAAAGAAAAATTTTTGAATTTAATTTTTAGTTCATGAATCGCATCGTTCCTCACAGAGTTCCATTTTTATTTTCTCATTTTTTGATCAATTATCCACTTATTACAGCAGTTATAATTAATGCATTTTGCAGAAGTGAATCAACAATGTAAATGCATACTTGAAACAGGAATATTTCAGACAAACGCTTCTCAAAGTGTTATGGGATGCGACATTAGTGAAAGCACCTTTTATGCATTAAATGACCTTAGTACTTAGAATCGCTATTGAACAATATATGCGTCTTTGAGTGAAAACTAGGACATTGCATCACTACGTGTATCGAAGCGGTTGATTTTCCATTCGAAGGGTATTGCTATGGGAAGAACTTGTAAATGTAAATAACGTTGTATAAAACTTGAGAGCGGCGTCACATGTTCCTTAATGAATCGTATCGTTGCAATGACGATCAAGTTGGTCGGGATAAATATTAAAGCTTGAGTCATAACAAGATAACGATTGTTGTGAGATAATTGATTGATCTGCTTAATAGATTTTTATTTTACTTCTTCTCTTTCCCAACGAGAACTGAATCTCGAACGTTTCGAAACCAAAAGTTTCAAGCGCATAAATATTCAAAAAAAAAAAACAACGATTTTGATTACTTCAATGAGTTAGGATGGATTCGTATTGTTTAGAGAATATTCGTTTTTTTTCTTCTTCTTCAGTAAGGAATATTCAAGATATCCTTTCAGAATTACGACCAAAATTCTCGTTCATCTCTCACTCAATCTGTTTTCGTCATCAGTCAAAATCTATTGACTCATCATTATCAAATTTTTACCTTTCAATTTTCTGTCCATTCGAACAGATATTTTATCCTGATTTTCTGCGAATCGTCTGAATTTTTTTTAACAAGAAACAATTTAGTTTATCTTTCTTTTCTAGTTCCTAATTTGTATAGATGTCGTATTTATCAGCACTAAGCAGTAGTACATAATTTTATCCACCGAATTAGCTACACTGCGCTTTCACATGAATGACATTGTGAAGGTAGGATGACGAGTTTCGAGTGATGTAAAATGATGTGTGAATCAAACGGAAAACGTGTTTGATGTGATACGTTAATTGTTGGTATAATGATATGTTCGGGAAACTAGTTCAGTGATTTGTCATTTGAATAGTGAATGATCCATTCCATCTGTCCAGTAGTGGAACTTTGGATGATAAATTCTTCGACAAATAAATCAAATATATTGATAAATGATTACCTCATCACTCACAAATGAGGTCATTTTTGACGACATTTCATATCGAATTTTTCATAAACTTATTATTATAGATGAAACGGTGTTTATTATGCGAATGTGTTTTGATTATATTATCAAGTTTATTGGAATTATCATCAACACAGTCACCGTTGTCTCGTGCTTGGGAAGAGACCTTCCCTGGACAAACTCCATTCTGGGAAAAGTATAACACTGGACCGCACGGAGTGGTCATTCGTGGATGGCAGTTTAGCAGATGTGCTAGTGAACAGGTGCAATTCGGTATTACTGTCTTATAAAGTATCATTTAAACAGACATAAAAATCCGAAGTTATAATTGACTGCTGAATAATAGGCCGGCCACACAACAAAAGATGAATGCAGCTGCATAAGTGCAAGGTCATCGAGTTATGTGCTACTTTGATGCTCATTGCTCACTGCGTTCATGAAGTAGTGTTACTAATGAATAAAGCAAATTTATTTAGTGGACGAATTATGTTGTGAATGTGTCGAATATTGTTATTTGGCCCGACTATCCGCGGTTTCCAGGGCCAATTTTTTTCAATGTAACGATGGATGTGAGCGAGGATCTTCCAGTTGAACGGGTCGAAATGGATCTTGAGGTAAGCCTTCTACTTGAGTTGTATTGATTATATGAATTACAAGTGTGGAATGTTCCTTTTCGGAAAATGATGGCAAATTGTTAAAGATATTCACTTTTGAGGTACGTCACGCAGTGACAAATAAGCAAGGGTCGAAAGGTTGGCAAGTGATACCGTGTCAAGGATGGAATATCATTGATGGATGTGATGGAGTTGGATCATGGTATTGCTTAAACCCCTTTATTTGACCTTTTTAAAATCGACTTCAAATTGCAGTAGTAGCACAGAAGCTGCATTCGTTCAGCAGTCACTCATTTATTGTTTATTTGAAGTCGATATTGCGACATGTTGGATAAATGTCGAGAAGCAGTAAAATCAGCCGACAAGTACGTTACTGACAGAAAAGCGCAGGATTTTCTCCGCCAGAACAGACTGTGTCCGCCACCGAAAGGTCACTGGACGATGACCTTCAGTAAGGTATTTAGCACCGAGGACCTGCCAAAAAGTTTTTTCGGACCATTACAGTCGAATGAATATTGGCTAACATTTTCATTCACAGACGGCGCAGATAAGAAGTTGGGATGCGCTCGTATTTGGGTTGATGTTTGTAAATATCATTTACAGGTTAGACCTTCCTTCATTATCAACCCGAATCCTCTTCTGCTTTCACTGTATTCTTCGCTTTCCTTCTGTGCCTCGCGTTTTAGTAGATGTTCAAATTTGTTTCTTTTCGGGAAAAATATGCTATTTCACTGCTGTCTGCTTAGCAAACATCTTTTCGATTAAATTCTACGTTTTTTCATTTCATTTCAGGATAAACAACAAAAATGTTTACGAGATCCAAATGCATTCAAGAATTTCATCAATGAGATTAGCAGCCAGGCTGAACAAATCAGGAGTCGTTCAGGATGATCAATATTCGTTTTCCATCAGTGTTTATTATTTATCTTCTATACATATGATTATTTACTTCGTTCTTCTTGAAATATTCCCTTTCTTTGATTGATGATGTATTAAGCGCAATTGTGCAATTGATTACTGTATGGAAAAAGAATCTGCACTACCATGCCACATCATTACATGAATTCAATAAATTTTATTTCTCAGCAGTCTCATTGTTCGAGAATTTCTTGCGTATGAAACGATAAAAATGTCGATCATCTTTCGTTACAATTACATCAATATCAGTTATACATACCTTTGCATTACTTGTTAATATAAGGGGCACGGCTTAAAGGTGATAAATAACGTTGTTGACATTAGTACTAGTGCGGTAAATGAAATTATTTGTTGGTGCAATGAAGTGATTAAGTCACTGAACGAAAACATGAACGCGAAAATCTTATTAAACGCAAAAATATGATAAACATGTTGAAACTATGACATACCAAGCCGACCGCCATCTAGTTATCTTAAAGTGCTGGGAACAATTGAAATGATGGGATATGGCAGCACTGCTTCGCTCATTCTCACGTTTCACAATAGATGACCTGATTTTTTTTGTTAAGTTATGTCAATTTTCGTAGGGCACAAATCGTTTTCAAACACAAATGCTTCAAACTTTTCTTTCTTTACTTCACAACTAGAGATGAATCGATGGCTCCCCACTGAAACCGAGAGCAGTTGATCGGCTGGAGGCCTCAGAAAACCGAATTTCGATGGTCACTAACCGAAACCGAAGGCGGCTAACCAGTTACCAACTTTTAAATCTAAAATTCTGTGGTCTCCGACCGAGCGCCTTATCTTTAGTCTTCAACGAGCAATCGATCCGTGCTCAACCAAAAAATCTTCATATTTCCTTGCCTACTCACGCCTGTGTAAATGTTCGCATTACAGTGCTGCAAACTTGCAACATTACGAACGCAACATTACGAATTCTAGATGAAAAATATGTCATCAATGTGGACGAGCGATATTAAACCTATCTGATACACTCAAGTTTAATGTTATATAGAAAATTGGATGAGGATTGAGGCTTGTGTTTCGTTCCTTATGTTTACGAACCAGCAATGAAATTTTTTGAAGTTGTTCATGAGTGTTTGAATCCTGTAAATTCCAAGTTCATTCGACGGTAGTGTTTCAGAGTGCCTGAGATGGCTTTAAGAATTGCGAGTGTTATCCCAAGGTTATCTCGAATTGCGGTGAGGTCGTTCGCTGCAGCGGCTACTACGCAGGCACAACCAGTTGAAACATCTGATGAACTGAGGCTTATTTTCGCAGCCCCCGATCGGGTACGTTGCTTTCCGTACTGAACTTCAATACTTGTTATCTTCTCGTTCCGGCTGGAAAATTCACCGCTGCTGAAAAAAAAACTATCATTTTAAAGTTTGATGTTCTTTTTCAGAATACTTATGGCAGTTCGCTCTAGCTCTGACATTTTCATTATAGGTAATACAGGGCGTCTCAAAAAAATGTATACACACTGTAAATAATCGTAAACTGGGTGTGTATCATAATTTGTTTAATTTTCAATCTGTTTCACATTTTAGAATGGATTTCCTTTCTTCAAAGTTTAGTCTGGCTGCCATCATTTGGCTCAATGGGTTAAACCTGCAAAGAAAAAACAATCAATTAAGTTATCAGCTGCTGAAAGGTGTATACATTTTTTGAGACACCCTGTAAATGCTTCAGTTCTGGTGAGCTTTAAGTTTGGATTTCAGGCTTTCTTCAGTGGTACGGTTGTAAAGCAAGTCGACGTACCTACAATGGCAGGTGTAGTTGGTGTATTAGCTAAGCATGTGCCAACACTCGGCGTTCTCAAACCAGGTGTTGTCCAGGTCACCGACCTAGATGGTAAGTGTAAAGCTTCTGATGACTTCGTCAGCGGAAACGAATCTGAAGAGTGTTATCCCCGTGACATCTGAAGTGTTATCTTTTTCAGAATACTTAAATGCAGTGCAAAATGTAGAACTTTCAAAGCATTTTTCAGGCAATGCCACGAAAATGTTCGTCTCGTCAGGAACATTCGCAATGAACATCGATGGTACGTGTCAAGTGCTTGCTGAAGAGGCACTTCCTATTGAAGATATTGATGAATCAGTGAGTCTTCTTCTTTATCAAAACAATCTGTAATTGGTCAGTACGTCTGGTGTTAAGTTCAAATTAGTGGACGGTGTTGTTCATCAGTGCAGTGTCATAACTCTGCAGTATTCACGACAAAGACATTGCAGTTGGCTCGACGAGAATTGGAAACGGCGCAACGACGTATTCAAGAAGGTGGTAGTCAGGTGGATAAAGCGGAAGCAGCGATAACAATCGAGGTTTGCGAGGCACTTATCAAGGCTGCCACTGGACAGGTGTAATCTCATGACTCGTTCTCAGAATCGTGATGATGATGTGTTGTTGTTTCATCCCTCCATGCTTGTTCAAATGTTCTGTAACGAAGCGATTGCTAGTGATAACCGTCAGATTAGTATCATGTTCTCTATTCATTACGTTTCATCGGTTATGATGTATTTTGCCTTAAAATATTTCAAACATACGTATTATGGACTTGCTATTGCATCTATATTTCATCAACTTTCAATGTTATCGTTCATAATTGATTGAGCAAACGACAGTTTCGTCCTGAAATAAATTTGAAACATTTACTATGTTTGCACTGAGTCAGTATGTCTACTTCATTGTTATCGGTCGTGTTTGGAGAGCTATGTAACTGATGAAAATCTCTCATGATTTAGTATAGAACTGGTAGATTACTCGTTCATTATGCATATTTTATTTTAGCGTTTCGAATATTTTATTGTTTCATTTGTTATGCTTAGTGTTGCAACAATAAATATTCTTGATTCGTTTCCACAATTCAAATGTTCTATTCCGACTTTTTGCCTGCTAACGTAAGTGGAACAGATTTCGATCGCTACTCATTATATGCGTATTAACGCGGTATTTCTCGAATGTTAGTTCTCGTTAGGAAAGATGTGGAGCGTATTCCGCCATCATGGCTTCAAATAGACCTAATTTGTGTTAGCGTGGCTTGTTAAATTGGTTTGTGTCTTGTATATATATAATGAGATATTATTATAAATGTACGTAGGTAATGGACTAATCGCATGACTGGAAACGACTGCGGTTTTATTATAATGTTATGAGGGAAGGGCATCAGGCAGTTTTGTTAATGCAGCTGCTTGAATTAGCTTCATGTAATCTGTTGTTGATTTGTGAATTTCATTGTTCTTAATTGGGTGATGTGGGTGGTGCACAGAATTGAAATTGATCTTTGGATGGCATCTCAGAATTCGTTTGTCGCATAGCCCCAAACGTAGTGTCAAAGGTAGATCTGTGATTCTCGACCCTCTCAGAGATAGAGACGTGTTCATTTTTACGGATGAATTATTATAAATTTTGGTCGTTTCAAAGTATACTTACATATGTCATGTTTAAAGGGATGGATGTTTGTATGTAGTAAGTAAGGACGTGATGCACTACAGAGAATAATTTGTGTCTTGAGAGCAGTTTATCGCTGTTGGATGTAGTCGATTCATCGATAGTATTGTTAAGGTGAGGCATTCTCGAATAATGTGGTAATAGAACTAAGTTAGCTAGTACTACTTACTATTAGCCGTTTTGATGAAGCAATCCACTATTCAATAAACATCTAACAGTGAATACTACAGTCGACTGTTCTACCAACAAATTTATTCTTTATCGATTATTCAACAACTGAGATTTGTTGAATGTGATCGTCCTCTTTATTATTAATTAGAAGACGTTTCATAACTTGATCAGTTACTGTGCGCATATCTCAGCTTTCATTTTTATAGTCACCTTGTGCCAGGCGTCTCTAATGAGTGAAGAATTGGAGTGGATTGTGTTAATGTCTATGAGATACTGTCAAAACTTATGAATCTGGTTGAATGGGTACAGTGCGTTCATTTATCGTTTAAAATGAACGAATAAAAGCGACTGATCCCAAAGGTTCTTTAAAATGTTTTCGAACATAATTAGTTTCATTAGCAAGCATAAGTATTCATAGATGGGATGAGGCATTCTGAAATGATTGCTCACATATTATATAAATGATTCTTCTAACGACTTTATTTCTAGAAACAATCACTGCTTGATATGAACTTAACGTCGTCATGTACTTAGTCAAATTTTTTCTCAGCTTCATCAGTGATGATAGCTATGAACAATATGATGGTAATACCCAGAGATGGGCAGCAACGCGCTACCGCTAAGTAGCGAAAGTTATTGAAACAGCTATTTCGCTAATTTGTTAACTTTAGCTAGTTAGCGATAACGTACTAATGCCACTCTGGAGCAGCATTATGAGTTTTTATCATCGTAATTATTCTCATTTTTATTGTTCGTATTTGGCTGTTATTTTAGAGAGGATCTTAATATTGCATTCGAATAAAACGCGATGAAGAGGCATTTTAATGAGTCGTTAGCTGGAGTTGAAGTGATCAGTGGCTGATGATTGTTTGATGCCGAATGTTGCAGCGATGCACGTTCAGATCGTTGCATCGGTTCTCCTATTAACTCGTCACTTGTTTGTTCAACCTCGAAAACAGTCGTCATCTCTCAGTACTGATTACGCATCGGTACACTGCCCATCGTACAAGGATGCTATCAGCACATGTGATTCTGGTCAGCTTCGTTTTCTGCATTCATCAAACACAGTGGTGTCCAACCTGAGGGGTCGCACCCTTTGGAGGTGCGAGGTAGTATTCCGGGGTAGCGTGGTGCGGGAACGGGGAAAATCGGAGACAAAATTTTGCAGTCGGGGACTACGAAAATGCGGTCGGCTCAAAAAAGGTCGTGGACGGGGTCCCCAAAAGTCCCCGACTACTAGTATTGCAGGGACGGAAAAAAAGTCGGGGACGAAATTTTCCAATCGGGACCCCGAAAATGTGGTCGGTTCGAAAAAAGTCGGGGACGGGGTGTTCAAAATTCCCCGATTTACCGCACCACACTATTCCAGGGTTGCAAGGTAACATTTCATTTTTTATACATTGAAGTAGGCGAGGGCGGATTTCAGCGCATGCATATGTATAAAGTAAGCGAGGATGGACTGTATTGTATATATTTTTGAAAAGGCTAGAATCAACTCTAATGGCGTACACTTACCTGCACTACAGACTCTCACTGTAGTGGATGAGAGATACAGAGAAGATGTTGTTAGGGGTGAGAGGACATTTTATAAGGGGGTGCTGGCGAGGAAAAGGGTTGGGAACCACTGACCTAGCAGTTGTATCTTTAAAGTCCCCCGAACTCATAATCTTTCATTTCATTTCAGTGTGTCAAGATTGTTACTTATTATATGAAATTGTTTTTTAATGATGAAAGTGCTAGAAATGGTTCATTTTAATCTGCCAGTCGCTGAGTAAGATTCAGATCAGTCTCAAGCACTGAATCATTTAAGTAGTTATACATTCAGGTACTCAGTTGTATTACTATTATTGTTGTGGTGATATGGACTTCTACTGCTGCTTCACTTTTCGAGTAAGTCAATTTGGAAAGATCAATTTAGTTTCATCACACTT